TGTATTCTTGAACTGATAGCATGCCTACTTTTTCTGTGCAGTTTATTTCTATTTCCTGCTGACGTTATGTTTGTCACTACCTATCAGTGCATAGTTTGGACTTGTTATTTACTGAGTTGGTGTACTCATGTTACTCCCTTCACCTTCTATGCAGATCCAGGTATCTCAGGCTATGGTAGCAGCTGTTGACTATTCCAGTCGCGGACATTCATCGGAGATAGTGAGGTAGCTGTCTGGCGATCGCAGTCCTGCCTTTCTCCTTCTTTATCTTCCCTTTAGTGTACTTTTGGCTACTCTCAGACTATGTTAGTCTTGTTATAATTCAAAACAGTTGTAGTATTTGCTCATGACTTAGTGACACTCGAGGTCGGGCTTTTATTTCCGCATTTTGGTTTTTGAATTAATCTCTTTTACGGAATTTCAGTATGAAATCGTCTTCTATGTCTTGAATTTAGGATTTAGCCCAAATTTCGTATGGGTTTGATCCGTTAAAATTTTAATGTCTACCCTAATAAGTAATTTTGCAACTCCATCCTCTAATTTTTGGTCAATGCCAATTCTTCACGCATGCTTCAATTAACTGACGAGAGAAAGTAAGTAGAGAAATTAAACAATTATGAAGGTCGATGGGACGAGTGCAAAGGTTTGAATAGTGTTGAAAAAAAGCAGAGAGTTAGTATTATTTTTACCATATGTGTGCAAACATGAAGTGAATCATTTCATACAGTTACCCTATTTTTAGCACTGATTTGATTCTTTCTTTTAACTTTAGTGTAGACAGAATGGGACCAAAGTCTACTATCTAATAAAAGTCACTGATAACTCTATGCACAGTTTGTGGTACTTCCTGCAGCTCTCACATGTGCCCCCAACCACCTATTTTGAACAATTTAATGCCCTTTCTCAAATTTTGTTTGTTGTTTTGTTATGTTGGCTAGGAAAACTACTGTAGTATATCTATTTGGAATTTATTTTGTGAATTTGTTGGGAACTTTTCTTGTGAGTGGCATATAGCAATTGACCTAAGGAAATGAGACAACTTACTAATTTCCCTCTACCCCTCACCAAATCTCCAAGATGTTAAGGCATGTATATGAGGAGACACGTTTATAAACATTAAATAGAATGCCCCGAGTTTCATTTTCTATAATTATTTGTTTTTCGTTCTGCATTTTAATTTATGTAATATAGTTTGACTGGTATAGGCGAGTAATTAAGATTTTGATTTAATGAGTTCTGAATTCAAAAAATTATTTGTACATTTTAAGTAGTTTGTTTTTTGACACAAATTTAGGATTTGAATCAAAAGTACGGGCGTCTACCAGACCCGTTTGCAGCATTATAGCTTCGCCTATGTGTTTAAGGAAAACCTTTTGGGTCGTTTGGTTGGTAGGATATGATAGACAAAGATATCTCATATCTCACCTTCTATATGAGATTTATTCCCACAATTTTAGTACAAAATTATTTCCGGGACTAATTAATACCTATAATCAAGTGCCGGATAAAATAATCCAGTATTTTATACCACAAACAAACGATCCTTTAGGAACTTGTGATCTTAAGATATTAAAGCATGCCAATATGAGTAAAATGAAATGTTTAACAAATAACAATGGGAAACCCCCTAAAGGAAAACCTGATCATGCACGGCATAAGAGACTGAGTGAAGACATAGGAAAAAGCCAGACGAAAAATGAAGTGAATAATGGTCAGAAATGGCACTTGGGCAAAGCAGTTCATTACTGATATAAAGGAAGAAGAAATCAAATAAATTTGGAGAATCTAAAGGTGCTAACGTGCGACAGAGAAGTAGTGACATAACAAAAGAAAAAATTGTCGTTTTCCATCTGTCTGCATGCATTTATATGTATCTGTTTCTGCTCTGCAGCTATAAGTACAAAAATTTATGCTGCAGTTGGTGCTCTCTCTTGTATAATTTGTTTCCTTTTAGCTGACAAGAATGCAGATTAGTGAGTGTGAGAGTAAAGGTGGGGCAGAATTAGAGTGTTAAAGTTCCATTAGTGTTAGGTCTAATATTCTTCTTTTTATATGGTATCGGAGTCAAGATTCATCCATTTTTGTTGTTGTCTTTCTCATTATTAGCCTCTGAATCAGTCCCTTTATGGACTTAAACCCTACTTATTTTGGGGTCATAGAAAGATACGAACCGCCTACTCTTTAAAGACACAGACAAAGTCAAGGAAAACCTTGAAAGGCAACCGAACGACCGCCCCCTAATTACTAGATTTTCTATTTTCTATTTTTTATTTTAATTTTACAGAAATTTTACATATGTTATTCACATTTCAATCGATCTTAGACGCTTCTCATTAGCTAACTTTTAAGATTGTGTTAAATTCATATTCCTTTATTGTTTTTTAGAATTATAGGGAGATAAGGGTATTTGTCAAGGAGCAATGACTTGTCACAGTCCTTCATCCGGGTTGGCTTTGTCTTAAGGGATCACATGAATGATGAATCCCGTCAGTACTGCAAAACCTTAACTTATGCGAGCTTATTCTGCGATTTTCTATCTCTTTAATTATTCCATTAATTACTTGATGGATTGACAATTGAACTCATTACTCTCCGCTCACTCTAAATATAAAACATGTATGCCAAACTTTTTTATGTTTGTGTATATATGGATGTTAGGCTAAAACAGTCCGTAAATATTTTTAATGGTGTGATATTGTCCGTTTTGAGTTAAATTCACACGATTTTTCCCAAAACAGCTCACATCATTAAAAGATCTATATACCTTATATGTAGGCTCACTTTATTTGCACACCCAACAATCTCCCCATCGAACTAAGTTTCATGCTGCTCATTACCACAATCCATGGATCTCTCCCTCGAACTACATTTCACGTGGCCTACTACCACGATCCACTAGTTAATTTTCAAGATTCATTATGTGTCACCCATATTTTTCAAGTATTATGGCAACAGAAGCCCGCAACTAGTTACTTCTTGTTTGTGTGCATTTCTATGTTGCCCATTACACCGATTCATGGGTCTCTCCCTCAACTAAGTTCCACATGACTCGCTACCACGATCCATGGGTCAATTTCCATGATTGAATATGTGTCACCCATATCGTTCGAGTATTATGGCAGCCGAAGCTAGCAACTAGTTTCTTCTTGTCTGTGTACGTCTCTGAGCTTGTAAGAGGAAGTAAATCGAGCTTTACACCATCACTCTATCAATGCCATATATACTCGCCCTGCTGAATCTGAGTTCCAATATCAGTTGTTGGGCTAAACCGGTCCACAGATATTCTTAAAATGGTAAATATTGTACAATTTGGGTCAAACCAGTACAGCTTTTTCCAAAAGACCTCACGTCATTAAGAGATTTCTACGCATTATATGCAAGGGTCTCAATCTCTTCCGCTCCTAATGTTGGACTTTGTTCGCACACGTTACAATATACATATATATAGAGACGGATCCAAATTAAAATTCAGTTGATTCAACATTTAAGATTTGTAGTATTGAACTCATTATACTTTTCTTAGCACGATAAATAATTCAGCTCACTAACTATAGATCGTAGATTCACCTCTATTTTTCTATATTTCTGTAAGATGTAATCTGTTACATTTGTGGAGAGGTAAGTAAAGAAATTCAAATAAATCAAGTGGATGATTAAAAGTAGACAAACTACGAAGACTTCGAATCTTTAAAAAAAAAATGAAAAAAAAAGGGAATAAAGAGATAGAGAGGTAGATTAAAGTTCTCACGGTCCCCCTCTCTCTGCTTACTTTACCGTGCGATGAAAGCAATGGCAATCCATCAAAGAGAAAATTTTGATTCTTTCTCGTTTAGAATGTACTATTTATTAATAAGTCAGTAATTGTTTTTTGAGCAAATAAATAAATAAGTCAGTAGTTCAATTCTCTTTGTGTGAGACCAGGGAATAAAATGTAAAAAAGAATATAGGATTGGAACATAAAGGAATGGAGATGAAAAGAATTTGAAATTTTTTGAAGTCAAACTGAAATATTCAGAGGTTACTTAACTTGAATTCTTAGGTGGTGAATTTAGCTAAAGAAGTCAAACTAGAAGTTCATAGTTAAACTGAAAGTTAAGTTTAACTTTATGTTCAACAAACAACTTAAAATTTAAGAGAACTGAAGATATATAGTGAAAATGCATATTGCATGTAATTGCGAATTGTGACTAACATATGTGGTATACCATATTTAATTTTTGATAAAATAGGCACGGTGAAATTCATACTCGAAGATTAATAAAGGCACCGTTTGGCGTCAGTAATATTTCAGTATGCGTAAATACTGAAGTTGAGGAACTTTGATATTTCGTGGCGTTTGAACATAAGAATTGTGAAATTTCGAAAAAAGTAAAATTTTTTTTCAAGTTGAAAAAGGTATTTGAAGATTAAAGTTGTGTTTGGACATGAATAGCATTTGGAGCTTTTTTTGAATTTTTGTGAGTGCTTTGAAGTGAAATTTTTTTGAAAAATAACTTTTTCGGAATTTTTCAAATTCCGAAATTCAACTTCAAGTGAAGAATTAAAATTTTAATAGCCAAACGATTCTGAAAAAAATGAAAAAAAATTCAAAAAAAAAAAGGAATATTTTTTATGGCCAAACGAGCTCTTAAAATAGAGTATTTCTAGCAAAATAACGATTTTATTTTGAATTAATCAAATAAAATTTATGTTCAAATACAACTATATATATATATTTTAAACTCTTTTTATCACAATTTATTTAATGGGAGTACTCCTTTAGTCTTCGAAAAAGGACAATGACTTTTTTTTATATTTAAAAATACTTTAACTTTAAATATTTTATTTTATACTTAATGAGACGATTTATTGTCATATAAATTTAACTAACTTGTTTAGTTCATAAATTCCAAAATATTCCTTTCAATTTTAATTTCAGATAATTTACTTTTTCACCTTGTGTCAAATACTGTTTAAAGCCTAGTAAAGAAGTAGAACACTCATACTCATAATCCCACTATTTTATCCGAGGCACAAGGAGTATATATTACAGGCACAGATTATTGGATTAGCTACTGAATTTAGCTAAAGGAGTAGCTAAATCCGATGGAGTTCGAAACTCAAGAAGATCAGAAAGAAATTAGAGCATCACCAAATTACAACTCAGTACTCGAAATCTCCAACTCAACAAATGAGCCCAAAATGCCGAGTAATTCCGACGAATTAATACTCGACGCGCCGCTGCAAATGAGGAAACCCAAGTACAAAGAGTGTCTCAAGAACCACGCCGTCGGTATCGGCGGCCACGCCGTAGACGGCTGTGGCGAGTTCATGCCTGCCGGAGAAGATGGTTCTCTTGACGCTCTCAAATGCGCCGCCTGCAACTGCCACCGTAATTTCCACCGGAAAGAGACTCAAATCCACCACCCACCCTACTATAGAACCCCACCGTGTGGGTACTTTCAACATGTCATGCCACCGCAGAGACCTTTAGCCCTGCCGTCAACTTCTGGAGGTGGTGGTGGTAATGTGTTTTGTTTGTTATAATTAATTAAAGTAGTTCTAGGGTTTCAAAATTAGTGGGTCAAAACTTAGAGTTTAATTTGTTATATATAAATGGAGTAGAAAATATGTAGTACAATCAACTTATAAGGTAATTACACGTCAATCTCTATGTTAAACATAATTAATAATCTGATAAAAATAAAAATTAATGTGTTACAATAAGTAAATTTGACATTGTTATCGTGGAAAAAGAATTACACTTATATTATGAGATACTCTTTCCGTCTCAAATTATCTATCGTGTTTTTATTTTACATGCTCTTTAAGAAAAAAGTAATCAGGATGCATTTTTGACTATCTTATTCTTAATAACAATAAGAATACAAAGTAATCAGGATGCATTTTTACATGCTCTTTAAGAAAAATGCATTATGCATTTTTGAAATCATAATATTACCCCAAAATTGAGTTCAAGAATATTTAAAATAGGAAAAAATAATTAAATTTGTCTTGAACTTTTAACATGACAAATAATTTGAGATAATTATTTTTAAAACAGAGGGATTATAACTTAAATCTTAAAACTATTTTAAAGCTTTCTAGAGTAATAAATTTAGGACGACTTTTAAAGCTACTATAATCATTCCCAATTTCCCATAATTACTACAAGTCGTTCTAAAATTAATTACTGCTCAACGTTCGTAATCTGTTTCAAACTAGTACTTCTTTGATATCTATTTTTTCCGCTCTCAAAACCAACAGGTGGTGGATATAGGGAGGATCAAGAAGAAATGTGTAACCCTAACAACAGTGGGACAAAGAAGAGATTTAGGACAAGATTCAACCAAGAACAGAAGGAGAAAATGCTGGAACTGGCTGAGAACTTAGGGTGGCGAATTCAGAGACAAGATGAAGGAGTTGTGCAGCAGTTGTGTAATGAGATTGGTATCAAAAGGCATGTTTTCAAAGTTTGGATGCATAATAACAAACTTACACTTGGTAAGAAAACCCTAATACAAAGTATAAGCCCTTCATTATTCCCAGCACAAGAAAGAAGCTGAAAAAGAAGAAGATAACACACCCAAAAAAAACATTTTTAAGGTACTTTCATTATATATATAGTTACTAGTATGTTCAATTAAAGAGTTTCAATTTTTTTTTAATATCTAGAAAAACAAGTATCTATCGGAAACAGACTCTCTACCTACACAAGGTAGGGTAAGGTCTTGCGTATATACTATCATCTCCCGACTTCGGGAATATACATGGTATGTTGTTATGTCATTGTTGCTAGCAGAACAAGTAAAAAGAGTATGTCAGAAGAGGAAGACGAAATTTATTTGAGATGCTGGTTGAGAGTGTTTTCTCCTTTTCTAAGAAGTACTTAGTAATTTTTTGGCCAAAGCTTTGGTCTTTTCTTCTAGTTTCACTTGTTTTCTTGGAAATATATGTCAATTTATGTTTAGGTGGGAATGTTGAATGCCTCATTATATATCTAATTTGTCCAGACTATGGGTTTATGAATGGATTAAAGGGTATTCATTACATTTATCCCGAGTTTTATCATTTAAAGAGATGACTTTGTTGCAATTAGCTGCTTATAACATTCTTGATCTAACTTCTGTTTGGAAACTTAGCTTGTTCTGCGGATTAAGGAGTATTAGTATATGATAGGTAAATTTATGTGAAGCGTAATGAGTGAAGAGAAGGGAGTATTGGAGCAACAGTAAGTAGTTTTTGTGTGACTTATAAATTACGGATTTGAGCCATAGAATTAGCCAATAGTGCATGCATCAGGTGGACTGCCTACATCATACCCTTGAAGTGCGGTCCTTCCCGGCCCAAAACATGCGTACCCGCAAGATGTTTCGTGCACCAGAGTCAATGTTGCCCTTGAGTGAAAAGTGTTAGGACTATAGGATGGTGCATTTTTCTGCGTTCATTGTTAATCTGTTATTTGTGTGAGATCATTCACATGAATTTCAAGTAACCAGTTTTTTGTTCTGAATCCTCCAAATTTTGAGCCTTTTTTTTCGAAATTTTGAGCTAACTTGACAAAATGAGTGCACTTTTGTTCCTTTTTTTGCAACCCGCNTCACGTCCTTCATCCTCTCCAAGAAGATGGTAATTTCAGCTTTAAATGTGTCATGTTCGAAATATTAATCGTTTTGTCAAAATGAAATTCATTATTTATTATTTTTTAAATCTACCTTCAATTCAAATATTGTATACAAATAAAGCGTCATTCATTTAGAGAATGCTCTTTAATACTCTCCTAATTAATAAGGTTCAATAACATATGTCTTTGTCAAAAGATGTACTTAGAAAATGTGGTGCGTCCCAATTCCGATCGATACATGTTTCTTGAATTGCATGTACCATCTTCTAGTCACGACGATGAAGACAAGTTTCCATTTTTAGTGCCGGAAACATTTTTTTTTTTTTTTACAAAATAGTACTCCCTCCGGTTCACAATAAGTATCAAATTTGTTTTTTTATTTTGATTCAAAATAAGTATCCAGTTATGTAATCAAGAAAGAATTCAATTTGTTTCTACAAATAACCCCTATGTACATATCTCTAAAAAGTTTTCTTACTCCTCACATTAAATGTTTAATTAGCGGTAGTTTAGTCATAGTAGGTATTTTTGTATAGAATTTAATATTTTCTTAATGGGCATGCTAAAAGCAAATTGGACACTTATTGTGAACCGGAAGGAGTAATTATTTGTACTATCAGACACAAAAGAACTGAATACTCCCTCCGTTCCAATTTATGTGAACCTATTTGACTAGGCACAAAGTTTAAGAAAAAATGAAGATTTTTGAAATTTGTGGTTCTAAACAAATCAAAAAGGGGCCCAGGGTATTTGTGTGGTTATAAAAGCTTCTCATTAAGGGTAGAATTGTAAGTTTAAGCTAAATTATTTCTATTTAGAAAGGGGTCATTCTTTCTGGAACGGACCAAAAAGGAAATAGGTTCACGTAAACTGGAACGGAGGGAGTATGTTTGATTATAGAGGTCTGTGAAGTGTACCTAGGGAAAGGAAGAGCTGATAATAATACTCCTCCAAAATAAGTGATTTTTTGATTGTTTTCACACATATTAAGAAATTCACCTTTTAATATTAACTAGCAAAGAAATTGACCATATTAACATTTATTATCTCTTCACTTAAACACTCCTAACACATACTCCAACATTATTTACTCCAGGGGCAATGTAGGAAAAAAAATCATTCTTGAAATCTAGAAAAAATCACTTATTTTGGACCACAAAAAAAAACCAAAAAATCACTTATTGTGGACCGGAGGGAGTACTATTAATTCATATCTTAGGGAAATATTGTTGTCTTAGACGTCAAATAAATTTATGAATTTTAGAGTACAATTTTTCTTGGGAAGAAAATTTTCGATACTGCAACAATTACTGCGAGGAAAATTCAAGTCCAATGGTGGGTGAAGTCCACGTTCATCAGATCCAGGATTTAAATTTTATGGGTTCACTTTTTAAAGTTTTTGGCATTGAACGTATTATATTTTTAAAGTTATGGGTTCATATTAACTATTTTTATAATTTTAATGAATTATTACACATAAATTTTAATCCGCGTCAAAAATTATGGGTTCAATTAAACCCGATGATACTACACTACATCCCCACTGTCAGAAAGTTGATTGATAGAACCAAAGTTTGATCAGAAATTCCATTTCTCTTTTTTTTTTTTTTTTTCTTTTTGAACATCATCTTGTTCTTATTCCCTAACTTTACTTACTTTTGAATGTTCCAAATGGAACATGTGGGGGACTACAGCAACACAATATATAGTCTCATGCATTATAATATTCCTACATGTTTGTTTTTCTTGTACTCCTTTTGTAGGTGCATTTTTGTTGTGGCTATCTGCATTTCACGAGTCACCACATAAATAAGGAATATCTCCGCGACCAAATAAATAGTATGGAGTAATACTAGTAATAATAAGCAAAGAAAAAGAATTCAAGCATTTAAGAGAACTTTTATTAGATGGAATGTTCTGTTAGTATCAAATTCTTACCATCATGTCAAAAACTAGAGCTGACACTAGGGTTGTGTATGGATCGGATCGGATCGAATTGGATTTAATACATTTCGGATTCGGATTTTGAACTTCGAATTCTAGAAAATGCAATCTGAATCTGATCTAAATTAATATCGGATCGAATTTTAAAGTTTGGATCGGATCAGATTTCGGATCGAATTATTATGCCTCAAAGTTGCAAACTCATATGTATGTTTTCTTTGTAAAAGAGGCAATATAGTAAGAAAAATTCACGTTTTTGCAATTATGAGAGTACTATGGTGCCAATATAACTAAATCCAACAATTGTAAAGGTAATAACTTGGAGGAAGATGTAAAGGAAGTAGTGACTATCCGAAATTAAAGTTTAGTATTTATACATGCCCTAATAATTTCGAATTTGGGATCGGATTAAAATTATATCAATCCGAATCCGATCCGAAATCTGAAATTTTAATAAACACAATCTGAAATCTAATCCAATCCGAAATTGAATGGATCGATTCGGATTTCGGATTTCCGATTCAAATGAACAACGCTAGCTGACACTACTAAAAAAAGGGAAAAACCGACCGCCAAAACCGACCGATGTTGATCGGTAATTGGCAAAAATTGATCGAAAACTGACCGATTCGTGGCGGTCGGTAATCGTAAAGTCGGTAGAGCTAATCGATCGACTTTGGCCGGTATTTTTCGACAGATTTTAGTCGGCCAATTAAATTAAAAAAAATTGTCGAAAAAACTAACCGAAGTTGGTTGGGTTTTTTCGACCAAAGTCGGTCGGTATTTTAATTATGTAATTAAAAATGCACCATCTGGAAATCGAACCGGGGTATGTACTATGACAGGATACTATTCTACCACTAGACAAGATACTATTCTACCACTAGACCATTGGTGCATTTTCTTTTAAGACTGTCTTTTATTTCATTTATACTCTTTAATTGTATTTTCGAGCGAAAATAACCGACCAATGTCAGTCTGTTTTATTAAAAAATTAAATTACAGACCGAATTTGGTCGGTTTTTTTAAAATGACCGGTCAAATTAACCGACCGATTCCGGTCATTTTTTTAATATTAATTTTAATTTATTTTAAATGAAAAACCAACCAAAGTTGATCGGTTTCTTGAAAAATAAATTTTGCAGGACTCAAAAATAGTTTCCCGCAATTTTGCGCCAAAGAAACCAACCAAAGTTGGTCGGTTTCGTTAAAAGATATATATATTTTGAAAAATCGATCGACTTTGGTCGGTCAGTCGATCGCGATCGATATTTGCCGAATTTCTAATAGTGTAATAACAAGGGCGTAATTTTATTTTTTGACTAAACCCGTCAAGCAAGCGTCATTTTCGACCATGACTCCAACCTAAGCTCCCCAGTCCATCACCTAGGCCTCATCATAGGCAGGATGTTGGCGTTACCCAACAATTCCCTCCCAAGACTCGTCATGCACAACATGTTATTGGAATCGAACACATGATCTTTGCTCTACTATAACTTGTTAGGATCAAGTCCTTACCATTTTAATTTGCTGAAAGCTATAGGTGATAACAAGGGTGTAAATTTATGTCTTAACCCACATCAAGCAAGCGTCATGATCAACCTTGCCTCAAGCCCTAGCCATCCCCAGCCCATCACATGGGCCTCGTCATAAGCAAGATGTTGGTTTGTTGCGTGTGAAGTGTAAGCAGCTCATGCCGATTAGTAAGTGTGAGCACGTGATTTTTGTTTCGCACGACAATCGCTCCAAAAAGAAATAAAAAAAATAAT